ATCCTACTTCCGTAGTGATACTGCCTCAGAAACCCAAGGAGGGGTCGCTATGAGTCAGGTTTGACTCGACGGCACATAACAACAACAACAACATACCTGTGGCTGAGCAAATATTTGTCCTCATTTAGAAAATTCTTCTTTGGGAGATGAGTGGGGAGAATATAAAAACCATTCTTCACTTGCGGCACAGGAATCTATTTTTAATTCATGACATGAGAAGACTATTCTCCTTTCTCCTTTCCTCTTCTCATTTTCTCCTTCATTCTTTCCTACTTTCTCCCTTCTTTCCTTCCCCATTTTCCTCCTCTTCTACCTTTAGGAGCTCTGGTGGTACAGGGGTTAAGCACTCAGCAGCTAACCCAAAAGTTGGTAGTTCGAATCCACTAGCTGCTCCACAAGAGAAAGACACGGCAGTCTGTTTCTGCAAAGATTACAGCCTTGGAAACCATATGGGACAGTTCTACTCAATGTCACTATTAGTCAGAATCAACTTGAAGGGACAGGGTTTGGATGTCCCCTCCACACCACTCAATATCATGAATGAAGTCCCTTGAGATACAATTTTCCTGTTCAGCCTGATTGTATACAAACTAGGAAAAGTTTGGATTCTTGACAACTCTGTTAACTCATACTGAACCGCTGGATGTCCCCATGTACCAGCTAAATTTTTTAGTGGAGCCTTGGGATGCTGGAGGATTAGTAACCGGTCCTTAGATTAAATCCTATGTGTCGGGAGAGAAAATGAATAGGTAGAATTCCTAGCCTGAGCCTTTGATACTACCTCCTCTATCCTTCAAGTCTGAGCCTACCCCATTGTCCTTCAAGGAACAGCACACCCATGTACTTGGCCCTTTTTAGCCCTTCCCTCAGGTCTCCATGTCTAGTAAAGGGGAGGTTGAGTTTTTAAACTGTTGCTTCCGGTGTGCTGTATATACCACAACTCAAACAACTTCACAATGTTTAGTCAGTCCACACCTCTTCTTTAATCAACCTACACAGTTGGTGCCAGCATGTTATGGAGGAGTGGTTTTAGTGCCTTGAAAGCCACAGGTGACATCTTTTAAATTGGAACCACTTAGAGAGTGCAGGTTGACCAAGTTCCTGGCTTGCTTAAGGACTCCTCAATTGGTGGTGCACCTGCTGCTCATATCATCATAATGAAACCCCTGTCTCCTCCAGCTCAGAGGCTACATGGGAGCCAAATCCACAAATAGGACTTGTCATCTGAGGGTATTCAAGGTCAACTTCTCTGTTTCCTCCTGACGACCTTGTGAGGCCCAAGGCCAAACTTTTTAAAAATTCCAGAGATGAATTAAATGTGACTGCTATGTAGACTGGTATCTGAGAAGTATACTTTAAAGACTGAGTAGTATATGGTTTGTCTTTGAAAACATCCAATAATGCCTAATAGGCACTGTTTATAAAACACTCCCTTCTCTCTGCCAGTATTTTATAAGGAATTTAAGCATCCCACCATACAATGGGCTACTGTCTATACATGTCTTCCCTTCTAAGCTTTTCTGTCACATTGAATACTGAGTATTAGTTTCTGGATACACATAGGAAGGAAGCAATGTTGGTATGAGGTACAAATCTGAACAATTAAGTACCTAGGACCATGGCACTGGTTTGTAGGTGTGGGCAGGAGTTGCTTACTTTGTTCAGGTTCTGTGCGTCATACGGAGACTGACAACAAGAATGATAAGAGCATCTTCCCACTAGTCATCCAAAGCTACATGTATTCTTTTATAGACTGAAGTATGTATACTTCTTTAGCATCACCAGTGCTGTAATCAGAAACTCTGCCCAACTAGTACAAATACATGACCATTAGTCAACAGGCAATCAATAATATTTTGCCTGTGTCTTAACATGTATTTTAATGTTAGAAAGCCATTTAACAAAGTTTGCTAGTGTTTGGAGATTCTAAATTTAAACATTCTGCCAGGATACCTGCCATTTGGTAAGTGACCTTAGTGGAACAGATGACAGGGGAATTGAATAATTAGAGAGCTGACCAAGGAAGAAAATCTAGCACATGAATCCCAATATCTCCAAATTAAAGAGTGTATTAGGGAAAGTCAGGTTGTGAGACACCAGCAAGTTCATAGGGATCTAAGTTTCATCTAATTGAAGTCTCTGTAATTGGGGCTATGAGGCAAATTTTGAACACCCCAAATAGGGAGTAGTCACTGGAGCTCTTAATTCTGGGTTATGTCATCTGGTTGTGGAATGATTACTGGAACCTCTAACCTGCTGGATCTCAACATGGTCTTTCTATGTTGGTGCAGGAAATCTAATTGTGAGAAAAGAGAGGTGCTACACCTGGCACAGTGGAAACTGAATGAAACTCCAAACCTATCTTAAATCTGCTAAAGCCTAACTGTGGAAATCCAGGGGTGCTCCTTCAAAGTGGAGGGCCAGCAATTAACCATAAGATGCCTAGAAAAAGGTGGAAAATAGGGACTCTACCTTTCTTCTTTTTACTATTTAACTATCCTCTCTGGAAATCATATGTAACATGGGAAAACTTTTCCTATTGTTCCCCCAACAAATCCATCACCTTACTACACCACACCATCAGATTAAGGGGAGATGAGGAGTAGGATACTCCTTAAGAATGCTCCTTAGAAACTAGAATGATTAGATTTCATTTTTTGTACTGTGGTC